TAGGTGATGCTGGTTTAATAGAGTAGTTGTGTTACATCTGCCACCTGACTTGCTGTTGAGCTGTTATGTGAAACTTAATATCCTTCCTTTTTTCATTTGCTGTGTATCACCAAGGATACAGTTAATGCCTTTTGCTCAGTTTATATTTAGGTCATGATATTTAAAAGTGCATTATATCAGCTGTTTTATTCTAAAAGTTCTAAGCAAAGGAGTTTAAGTCCTTCTTTGAAGCAGAAATATACAGTACATTTTCCCAAAACTTTTGGCAGTTGTTCTGGATGTAGGATATATTTGATAAAATCTTAAATTAATTATGTAAGTTACTTGAGCAAAAATGAGTTGTAAATTGTTTTGTTTCTTGGGTGGTTTTGGTCTTGAGTGGTGTCAGTAGCAACATCAGTTTAAACCTGAACAATCTCAGTTCTGTCCTGGAGAATTCCATAAGAAAAAAGAAATAATGTATTTTTTACTGTAGATAAAAATGAAGGTTGATCTTTCACGCTAATCTCTTAACCAGAATATGTATTTGTTGCTTTATGCCATTGTTTTATACTTATGTCTATTTTTAGTTCTTCTGACTTATGACTGCACTGAAATTACAATGATAATTTTGAGATAGTTCAAATAACCTGTAGTACTTCACCTATGTTATTGATTATTATATTGATTTGCAATTTTAACATAAATTTTCATCTGAAAATATCCATAGAATGATGGATGGGGGAAAAAGAACTCACACTGAATTGTGAACTTCTGCTAAAATGTTGAACCTGAATTTTTTCTACCTAAGATCTAGGGCTGAATCTCTCTCATGAATCTTATTATATATCACTTTCACTTAAAACTGTTATAGAGGGTGTGTTTTTGAACAGTTTCCTATATTTTGATTCCTGTGTTTTTTGTGGCAAGTGTTATTCTCATTATTTGCTTCCTATTTTTCTGAAATTGATTTCCACTCATTTAAGGTACTTCGGTATCCTCAATAGCCTTTCATTCTCCAGCCTGTTAATAGCTCAGAACTGGAGTCAAAGGTCATTCAGCAGCTGCTTTTTTAAGACTTTTGAGGGCTTCTCTTCATCACCTTTTGATTGTGGTTTAACCTTACATGTAAAAATTACAGTTCAAGCCATAGCTCTAGTTTTGCCAACAGATGGCAGAGGCTGATAAATACTGAAATTGGAAGCTTGGCTTTTGGTTGGAAAAGGAGGATTGCTGAGGCACTCAAAATTGAAGAATGCAAAGGGCTTGAGCAGAAAGGTGACACTAACAGGAGAATGCCACACTTTTCAACACTTTGAATTTTCAGATGTTTTGGAGTGTCTTTTGGTTCCAATTTATGTTTTAGGAAAAGCAGAGTTCCAAGCAAATGAGGGTTACTGTTGAAATTTTAATATTAAATTAACTGAAATTCATTCTTTTCTACATAATTGCAATGCTTTTTGGGCTCTCATATTGTAATTTTAAATAATACCCTGTATTACTTAATTTGTCTAAAGTTTTGTAGCTCTTTCAAATTTATTTCATGAAGTTATTTTTGTGTTCTAAAATTAAAGATAAAAGATTAAAGATCGAAGGCGGTGTGCATGATTCACAGATCATATTTAGAAAGAATATTTTCATAGGAATGCAGCTATATTAGCCAGAACTACACAGTCCAACCTTTTCATGTTTAGACTGAATCCAAGAATATACACATAGAACTTTGTTTACTGCAGAGACTAGTTTATTTATACACTCTGATAGAAGGTATCATCTTTCAGTGCCCCTTTATGACAGAGAGAGAGAGAAACAGGGCCAAATCATTGCTAGAGAGTCTGGCATCAAATGTTTTTAAAAAAAAAAAATCAGTACTTCCAGCAGTACACGTATGAAAATATAGTCAACGAAAGTCAGATGTTAAGTCAAATAATGGCTAATACTAATGTCTGAAATTAGCTAAATTCCTTATACTTTTTTTTGGTTGAGATTTTGTGAATCTGGACTTTCTCTAGCTTTTCAGAAATAAGGCTTGTTATCCATGTAACTGTTGCATACCTATAGGCACTTAAGTCTTTTGAATTTTTTCCTCAACTGAATCTGCCTTAAAAAAGAATATTCTGATTTTCAGTTTTGTAATTCAGATGAACCCTTGGAACAGTGAAATCGTACAACTATCTTGTGACATTTTCATTACTTTAGATGTAAAGGTCAAAATTCAAATGTGATGTTTGCTCTGTGTTTGGAGAGCACTTATTTCATATGTTTCCATTTTTAGGAATCTCATCTTCAGGGAGATGGACACTTGATAGCTTTATTCATTCGTGAAAATGTATCTATATAACTTAATTTCACAAGTACCTGTATGATTTTAAGTGCCTGTTTCTGGGAAAAGATAGCTAAACTTCTAAAAGACACTTTTGCTTCTTGACTTTTTTCCTGCCTTATTATGTTTTAATATCTGAGAACTCTGGCTTGTTAGCTGTACAAGAAATGCCGGCAACTTAAACTTTGGACTTTACTTCATTGCTCTAGGGTGCCTCCTTCAAGAAGTTGTAACATTTGGGAAAGGGCAAGTAACAAAAGGTAGAATAAGGGAAAGAAAGAGAAAGGCAACATCTTAAAACACTGTAGCAAACCTTGGTGGCTCCCATCTGTTAGAGAGTTCTGAATTTTGTCTGTGTCCTGAGGGATTTGGGTGGGAACCAGGCACTGACTGGAGTGGCAGGGGAGCTGCCTGGAACAGCTGGAGCTCAGCAGATGTCCCGCCTCTCTTCATGGATTGCCAGCCCCATCTGCGCCTGATCCTCAGTTAGGTTAATCTGTAGTGGCACAGGAGCAGATTCATGTCCTGTTCTGAGTCACCACAGTAGGACTGCACAGGCAGCTTGAGCAGTAACTACTTCTGATGTCTGATACGCTCCTCCATGCACACATTTACTCTGAATAAACCTTTCTTAAATAAAAAATATTGTCTGAAGTACACACTACATTGGATGAATATTATTTTTATTGTAAGTTCATAATAAAGAAAGGAAACTAAAAAAAATTTCCCTTTCAAATTGTGAAGGTACTTAATATCTTATTAATGCAACTTACTTGAATGAGTTAAACCAATATAAGCATCTTTATGATAGTATAATCATATTTATGTTACAAGTTTGTTTTGCTCTAACTTTAATTCTCCCTACTTTTCCACAGTAAAGAAAAAGTCTGTGTTTTCTATACATGGCTGTGGCAGTTTTACCCTTCTGTTTAAACAGTTGACTAAGTATAGGGCAGACTGAAGTGTGGTTATGCTTTCTCTTGTGCTTTTGTTACATTTATTTATCCAGTGTTAGCTTTTGCCAATAGCAGAAAATCAAGCAAATTGAAATGCATAAAGAGATTTATCAGAAAACTTTGCATTGTGAAATAAATTCTCGCTCAAGTCTCTTTAGTGCGAAGTATAGTGACCTACAGACAATTGTAATATTACAGGATACAATCAGGAAACGTAAGAGAAATACTGATTCATAAATTATTATTTTATTTTACTCATGTTCTATTGTAGTTCGAGATCGGGTTCGGACAAAAATGGAACGCGATATCCTAGTAGAAGTTAACCATCCTTTTATTGTCAAGTTACATTATGGTGAGTTGCAGAAAAATTCATTTCATATCATAAAAATAAGGTGCTTGTCAAGATAGTACCTAACATTTGCTTTGGTTCAGAGGATCCTAGAATATTAGCATGCTATCTAAATCCTGATTATGTAAAGACTTGCTACATAGTAATTCTCATGCAAAGTAGGCACATGGCTGACTTCACACACAGTGTTATATCTATAGGACTGAGAGTCTGTAGCCTTTTGCTTTATTAAAAAAAGTTATCTATGTCCATTTATTTCCAAAACCTCTTGTCTTTTGAAGGTCATTCACTTTATTATTATTATTTCTTAACTTTTCTTTATTTACTATATAGAAAGCTTATGCAATGGTGTTATTTACAGTTGCATCAAAATTAGTGGGAATGTACTTTTAATTTTAATAGTATGGACAGCCAAAAAAAAAAAATTATTCATCTGGAGGGAGGAGAAAATCAGTACTCTTAAGATGTCATGCAGAAAGTAAACTGAAAAAAGAGAGAGCAGTTTCTCCTGTTACTTATTTTTCAGTTTGTTTTTCTTTTAGAATCCAATTTTTCCTATAGTTCAAACTTCAGACCTCTGTCACTCTCTGATGTAGCTTAAATAATGTAGCGTTCACTATTTTACTTGTCACTCTTTTGCAAACCAGACTAGATGTTCCTGTTAAGCTGAGTTTCCAGAGGTTTTGGAATACTTGCGTTAGTTACTAATTTGACCTTTTAAATCTAGACTTTTTACTTCCTAAATCTGGAATGAAATGCTGACTAACGTAAGTATAGTTTATTTTTTTAGAAATTCCATTGGTAACTTGCTTTACTTTCACATGACATGAGAGTTACTTGGTCCATAATAGAGGAACATTTGCTTAATTCATTCAAATATTTTTTTTCCACAAAGGAGAAAAAAAGAATTAATTTTCATAGTGAAAATAAGGGTGAATTATTGGGTGTGTTATTCTTCTGATCATGGGTAAAATTAGATCATACTTAATTTTTTTAATTGATCTTTTCAGCTTTTCAAACAGAAGGGAAACTATATCTTATTTTGGATTTTCTCAGGGGAGGAGACTTGTTTACACGTTTATCCAAAGAGGTAAACTTTTTAATTTGAAAATTATATATTGATAAAATTTTACTATAAACTGCCTATGTTAGGAGAGTTTACTTTTTAAATTCAGTTTTCATTGAATTAAATTTTGAATGTCTTTTTTTAAACCAGCTAGGCTTTTTGTTTGGTTGGGTTTTTTGCACAACGTAGTTACTTCATGAAAACGATGGTAATTTACATTGTTTCTGAAAAAAGGCTCAGACAAGTAATCTTTCTGGGCTGCTTTTTATGCCTTGCAGAATTTTCTTCTCCTATTGCTACCATGTTTAAAGATGAGTCTTAGAAAAAGCATGGATTTATATAAAGTAGTTGTATTCAAATTAACTGATTTGTGTCTGGTTTTAATATCCAGAATTTAATGTCAGATAGATTTGGGGGTTTTTTATGATTTACATATGAACACAAAATTACACTATTTATAAATATAAAAAATCAAGAATTGTATTTCACTTATTTTAGTAATTTTCCAAAGAAGAACACTTGGCCTATGTTATGCTGGTGATATCTCTGTTTAGATATGTGAAATAACGACTTTTAAATGTTTGATTAATTTTATTATAACTCCTAAAATAAATGCTAACATTTCATATGTGAGAATCTTGTATTTTTTAATTTTTTTTTGCTATCACTCATGCAAAAACTTCCAACAAATATATGATAATAAATATATCCAATCTATATCTGGTATCCAGAACTTGTAATTGTAGCTGCCTTCCATTTTCCCTTGCTACAGAGTATCTGGGACAATTGGGTCACCACGACAAAGCTATATGGTTATTAAGATGACAGTAGAATGCAGTGCATTTTCTGTATAGATACATCACCATTTCTGTGCTGACCACATAAATTACTACATTTAATTCAGTGAAGCTATCTGTTTCAAGCTCTTTCTTTTAGTTTGTTTTGCCACAGATAAGTAGAGAGGTATTGGTACCCTAAAACTGAGATACTTTTTTCTTAAAATCCATAGTTCTTTCTTGATTTCCAAGAAAGAACATCCGTCGCTTTCCTACTGATGACTTTTTCATCTTGAGCCACTCAAATTTTATAAGACTCAATATGGTTAGATAAGAAATACTCATTATAGGTACCTGAATCTATGCTACTTGTTCATAACTGATGGAGTGAAATGGGCATGCTGGATGCAATTAATGTCATCCTTGTACCAATTTGTGTGATTTTAAAGTAGATCAGATGAACTTGCAGCCTAAAAGTTCCTGCTTTTTTCCCATTGACTACAAAGAAAAAAAAATTATTCATTCAGAGCTAGATGTCTACACTGCAGATGTTGAAAGTTAGGACAGATGAATTCCATGTAGTGTTTTCAAAGAATATATTGTGGGTGTATTATCATCCTCGTAGGTTTTTTATTATTTGAGCTTTTAAAAGTTTCTTACAGAGATTTCCCTTCTTGAATGTGCATGTACTAAGTATTTGCTCTTCTGTAGAAGTAATATCAGCAACAACCTTTAGTACAAGCTTTGATATCACTTTCTCTCTTTAAACTACTAAGGTGAAAATATATGGTATTCTCCATTCTCACTAGCTTAAAATAATGTTCATCTGTGCTCCCCATTGCCATTCTTTTTTCCAAGTCCATACACTGTATCTAAAGATGTTAATCTTAAATTCTAATTTAAAAAAAAAAAAAAAAGGCTCAGAGTAGTAACTGAGGAAGAACCAAATCATGCAGGAATTTTTTTTTTTTATTTTAGTATTTTTCTAAATTTTCAGAAAAGTTTCAACATGTTAATTTCATTGAATATAAACAAAGATTATGTTATCTTCCTAACAGAAAATGTGGGATTGCTACCTGAGATCTTACCTGTACTCTTACATAGGCTGTTTTCTTAGCTTATTTTTCGATCTGCCTTTTCTACAGTTACATCTCAGGCTGCATCTTGCAGGTTTTACCATCACTGTACCTTCTTTCTCAATACCTAGAGACAGTCTCCTCAATGCAAAGATGCATATTCTTTTCTTGTGTCTTCGACTTTGTAGATGAAATTCAGGCATTTGGACTACTTTAGTCCATTTGTTGTCTGGAAACAAAGTCACATTCAATAAAGAGGTAGTCACATTCTTTAAATGCATCCCCAAATTTTTCAGTCCCACTACAATGTGTCTGTCCTCTTTAATAATAATGAAAATAAAAACAACCTTAGTTTTGTAGAAAGAATAATGTGATACTGACTTCAGAGTTTCTTTTTCAAGTATGTACTGTGAAATAGTATTATTACAAAATCCTAGTTTTTGTCTAACCAAAAAATTTGGTTTTGTATAGAACTGAATGCAAGTATTATGAAGAACCATTATGCCAAACCACTGTTACCATTGTTTAGTTGGTGCTGATGTAAGCTTTACAAAGTTTACATGTAAAATACATTGTTTTGCTTTTTCAGGTGATGTTCACAGAAGATGATGTTAAATTTTACCTGGCAGAATTAGCACTTGCTTTAGACCATCTACATAGTCTTGGAATAATATACCGGGACCTAAAGCCTGAGAAGTAAGACTCCTCTACAGCACATACAGTGTATTAATTAGATTTGTATAGCACTTCTACCTATGCAATTCTCTTTTCATTTGTTAAACTTCAGTGATTTACCATACAAACTGAATAGAGAAGGAGGTAGGGGAAGCTTGTGGGCTCTTTTAATTAAAAAGGTTGGATTTAATTTCCACTAGAGCATCAGCTTCTAGTTTCAGAGTGATATATCAAGTACTATAATCCATGTTGCTTTAAGTAAAGAGTATACCAAAATATTCCCCCCTTTCATTTTCCAGGTGCTTTAGGGTATACAGTGGAGAAGAGGTCACCTTGGCCTTTTGGTTTTGTCATTATTGTAGAATTTCTGGACTAGAGATAAATTTAGAACAAATGCATGATACAGTGTTACAGTCAAATGTATCTTTGCATTTGAAAGCCTAACGGTAAACATTTTTTTCCAAAGCTGATTTTTAAAATACATTGCAGTAAGAGCAGAGTGGAGTTTTATTTAATGTATTGACAATCACATAATTATACTGAAAACTTAAACTTGAAGCTGCGATCCCAGTATGGTGGTGTGTCTCAATACATTTGTTATCCATGATTCATTCAAATGACTGAATTCTGACTCCTGTTTATGTCTTTCCTCCAGTATTTTGTTGTTGTTCTTGTTATGGTTTAGAAGATGTAAAGAAGAAAATGTGAAAATGTCAGTGCTGTCATCTGGAACATTTGAATGTTTCAGATACAAATGTATGCTCTAGTGTAACTGTCTACCTGGAGGGGAATCTAAGTGACAATATAATGCCTGCATCTCCTCTGTTGTGCTTAATCAGATAGTTAATATGCTCTGCCTCATTGCCAGGAAATCTGTAGTAACTGTGAAGTCCTGATATCCTTGGTGATCCCACTTCTATGTTACAGCTACGTGGAGAACTTGAAAAGTCTGTGTGAGATAACTGTCTCATGTGAAGTATTAGTGGAAAAGAGCAAAAATGAATAACAAGTATCATAGAACATGACTGTTACATGGAAATTCCGTTAGGATAGCTTGTTCTTTTGTGCATCTCCTGGAAAAAAAGACACAAATTTAAAAATGTTTAGCCCTGACTGAAAGAAAGGAAAAATTCATACTCAAATCAGAAATTTTGAGGCTTTTGGCATGGGGTTGCACTTACAAAAGAAGAGGGAATGAATTATGTTTAAACTTTGAGAGTGTTCTGTTAAGTAATTCTGAAGTGAGGAAAAATAAGCTTACCAAGTGGAAAAAGATTTTTGAAAAGCAAAGTGAGAGAACTTTAGTTATTTTGCTAACATTTACTGCCAAGAGGAAAAGAACTAAATCTTTATTGTCAGAAGACTAAATAGCTACTGCCTCAAACATAGTTTTGTTTTTTTTTTTTTTTTTAAAAAGGAGTATGTGTCTGTACCTATTGAAAAGCCTTCATTTTAAGCCTTGGGTATATCTGATTTAAAAAAAAAAAACAACAAAACTATTAAAGGTTGAAATTATTTGCAAGTTATGGATGAGACAGTAGTAACTCTCACAGGCTGTATCTATACTGTGAGGCTGTTTCCCACCATGGAAACTGCAAGGAGGAAAAAGTACGGGCAGGTGAAATGTTCAAGTACTGTGTGCCTGGGTCATGTCTCATCCTGGGAAGGAACTCAGCTCCCCACAGGAGAAGCTGGAGAATCTAAGCCTGCTGTGTAGGTGGTGTTAGAGAGTCCAATTCTTGAATACTTTGCATGCTTTGAATTGTGATTATATCCAGTGGTGGTTAAGGATGGTTGGCATCTCGGAGAAATGTGGCCTTTTTTGTGGTTGAAATAAACAGATGGAAGCACAAAGCCTGCTCTAAGTATAGGGCCTGTGGGTCCTGTCCTTTGATACAACATGAGAATATTTATTACTTGATGTTATTTGAAGTGGTCAACACCCTTTGAAACAGTAATTATAGATGAATACCCATTTTGTATACATATGCAAACATACATTGTATTAACACGTCTTGCTCAATTTCAGAGAAATAGAACTATATCTTTATTTTTAAGAATTGTGATAATGGCTCATGCTGCAGATGGCCAAAACTGAAAGTTCATGTTAAAAGTTACTACATACTGTTCTGAATTTAACCAAGCAGTTAAATAAAAATCTGATATGCTGATTATGTTTCATAATCTTTAAAAAGAAAGAATTGAAGGAAAATAAAATGTGTAGTTTCATATCTACTCCTAATGATTCTTTTTCATACATGTTCAATTCTGCTTGTCTTTGTATATGCTGTTCTGTTTATTCCTAAATGTTGTCAGTACATTGTCTGAAACAACAATTAAAAGATATTTTAATTAATGTATTTTATTCTTTTTCTTGTTTTTTAGCATACTGCTTGATGAGGAAGGACATATCAAATTGACAGGTGAATAAAGGGAAATTGGAACACTTCGATCTTTTCTGTTCATAATAAAATCTTAACATTTTCCTTTTTTGCTGTAAAGCAATATGGTAACATAAGTAATTTTAACTGGTAGGTAATTTTTGCTGTGGAGCAAATTGTGTAATTAGTTTGAAATAAATGAAATATGTTAACATTTAAATAAGATATCTGCTTTATAAGTATATCTGATGCTATGGACCTGTGATATGGGGAGACGAGGAGAATTCTGTAATTCCCATGTGCATATTTGGGTGTATATATGAATGATATAAGCATGTTTCATGTTATGGTGAAAGTGTTAACCATGAATGAGCGAGTTAAAAAAAAAAAAAATTACATTTAGAACTATTCTTTTTCCTTACAGATTTTGGCTTAAGTAAGGAGTCAATTGATCATGAAAAAAAAGCCTACTCTTTCTGTGGAACAGTGGAATATATGGCACCAGAAGTCGTTAATAGACGAGGCCATACACAGAGTGCAGACTGGTGGTCTTTTGGTGTTTTAATGGTAGGTTTCTGGTAAATGTAAATAATAACAGAACTATGCTTTGTGAGGTTTGGTGTAACAAATAAAGTATTAAACTGTAAGGTGAGCTTTAAATTAATTGTAACTACCAAAAAAAGTCTAAATTATATGAAATTAATAATAATACCACAGAGTATCAAGAACATGGACTAGGTCTCATATCAACACCAACAATATGCTATATTTTTTTTATCATTGAATTGAAATATTATGCATCTCTTGTAGTTTGAATATTACAGAGACTAACAGGAATACTGAAGTATATAGGAAATGCCAAGGCAGGGAAGAAATTTAGATCCAAATTTTTAATTTTAATTTATTCTCAAGTGGAAAAAAATGAGTAATCACTTTCTAATTAGTCTCCAGTGTAATTTCAACTTAGTGGAATAATGACACCTACTGCTATCGCACATGAAAATAATCTAAATGACACTGAGCCAATAAGGGATACGGTTGCTCTGTTGCTGACAGTGTTTCTGCAATGAGAACTTGCAGGGTTGGGGGAGATAATGTGTATCAGATATGGCTTTGGAAAAGAAAAACGGATCATGTTTGGTATTTTGGGAACCCTGAATGGCTTTTAATATTTATAATCTTTGTGTGCATTTTTTACATAAAGATAAAATAATTGTATTTTTAAAGGAAATGTTTCTGTTTCTTACTGCTTCTGCTACATATGACTGTAACAGTACAACTAATGTGTATGCTTTGTAGAATGAGAAGGACTCTTGTGCCTGAAAATAAGTTGTCCTATCATCTTTTAGTCATCTAGAATGCTGTTGTGATCTGAAAACTGACTATGTAAAAGTAGCACCTGATAAGTAAACTCTCTCCAGACAGACAAGCACATACACAACCTCACAACTGCACATTTTATCAGTAAGACCACAGTCAATTAGAAGGTAGTTGCAGAATATTTGTTATTGATAAAACAAACATAGTTAAACCTCAGCTTTGCTTTATAAAGCTGGAAAACATAGTTTTGTGCTTATAAAGTGCATATGTTAAAATTGAAAATTGCTAAATATGTTAGATGTGACTGGTGTAGCTTTCACAGTCGAAGTGCACTGCATTTTAAACACTTTGGCTTCTACTTTGAATTATAAAAAAAAATTACCTTAAAAAGCAAATTCTTTAAATTAGTATATGGATTACAGTGCAGTTTTCTCTAAGACATATTTTTGTTGCTTGCATTTCTAGTTTGCATGGTAATTTTCATAGACAATTTGTATATATCCACTCTTAAATGATTCTTAATTGTAATCTGTGTTGACTGAGAATTCAAGTGGTTGTTGGTGTGGTATGAGTACACAGTATCTAGATGGAACAGAAAGATACCTCAACAAATCATTTGGCCTCTTTTCTCCTGCTGCTAGACATTAAGTATGTTTAAACCATCCTTGAGAAGTATATTCCAATTTATCCTTTAAAACAGTGACTGTTTTAAGGGATACCAGACATCTAAAAACACTAATTTAAAGTTTTCAGAAGCATTATGCATTTGTTGAGGAAATTTTTTGCTGAAATAAAAGATAACCAGGGAAGGCCAATGTTGGCTTATTCTTAGAGTGCTTTTGGCCTGCTGATGTTGGAATATAGCATTTGGGCAGGAGGGACAAAGAAGGGACAAGGAGGACATACGCTGAGTTGTTTGTACAAGTGTGTAGTATGCTTGTGACAAATAGGAGCTTGTTAAAGAAAATTTTTATTTCAAGCAAGTGTAAGTGAAACATGCAGCACAACAAATTTACCTTTTAAAAATTTTATTTGCCAGTGCAATTTGTGGAGATCGTTCTAAACTATAAACAAAAGGTGAATTTTTTTCGTAGTTTTGGCTTATACCTGTCAAATCTTCCTGACAATTTTCTTAAGAAATACTAAAGTTAAAAGTAGGATTTTTTTTTCATCTTGGCATTATATTAAATTTAATTTTTTAAATATAAATTTATAAGTAAAAATAATACTTAGAGTTAACAGTATCTAGCAGCAGTGAAGAGTTGGCAGCTTTTATTCTCTGAATACTTACAGGGTAGTAAGAAATATAAACAAGAGGTTTTAAAGGATGTCATTAGAACAAATTCATGCTTTTATTGTAGATCTAAGAATGTTGCCATCATTCATTATTCACTCAAGTTAACCATGTACATTTTTAACGCTTAGAAGTCTGAATGTTTGGGTCATACCAGAAAAAGAGAGGAACAGAGGATACCTTGTGTTCAGGATGACTTCAGTTTGTATAAGTTGTTCAGAGAGTTCCTTTATAATTATTTTAATTTTGATGGCTTTAAGTGTGTGCCATGAAATTTCATTAAACTAAATTGTTCTGTAATTCTTAAACCAAAAATCAGAATTCCTGCCTCAGAGCCTTGGCTGCTGTGTTTTCTGTGCTTTCAGTACCTCGCTTAGATCTGATCTGATCCCTGCAGTATACTGCAGCCCAACGGAAATGCCTTTATATTTGTCTATTTTTACTCAGTCACTTTCAGAACAAATCAGTATTTTAACACTCTGTTGCCTACTACCAGGCGCTGTAGAATGTGCATGCACGTACTGTGTAGCTCTTACGTGTTCCTTCAGGCTTTATTTCTGCTGTATGCATACAGTAACCACTTTTCATCACGCATGTCTTTGTCAGTCAACTAACCTTTTTCCCCTTTCCAATGAAGGCTATGTACATGCCAGTTTTAAAAATTTTGACCTCTTTAAATATCTCTGCATGAGCAGAAATCATCACTAACTTTTGAAAGGGGAATCTTTCCCTAATCTTGAAAACTAAAATACAGTTGTATAGATAAATCTTCCAAGAATACACTTCTTAGGCAGAAATTAAAAACAGAACATTGTAGTCTAAATTGTTCAGATAAAAGCATGTAAAGCAAGGTATCGATACAGGAAAATATTTTGCAGCTTTAAAAATGGCATAAGCTGCTCAATGTTCATAGTAATTTAAATTGTACAATGAGAAGTTGTTTTGCACAGACTTGGTTGTTAACATGCATGAATTTTGGAAGGTTAAGATGCTAAGTAGTTTTGTCAAAAATCAGATTTTGTCCAGGTAATGTAATTGATGAAAGTTTTACTCTATACAGTTTGAAATGCTCACTGGTACTCTACCTTTCCAAGGGAAAGACAGAAAAGAAACCATGACTATGATTCTCAAGTGAGTACACTCTTATTTATATATCTCATCAGGTATTCTACAGGGATGCCCTCCGGGCTGCAATATCTAATTTCTACTCTTCCCTCATTTCCAAAGGTACTGGTAAATCCTCACTCCCTATTCCATACTATTAATTCCCTTTGCTGCCTATCTAATTTGCCTTTCTATTCCTCCCCCATACCAGGTACAAAGAATTTCATAGCAGCTCTTTAATCTGTAATAATAACTTCTCCAACCATATGATCTCTTTCCTACCTTACTTCCATAATATTTTTTAACTTTCTTAACCTTTTTAATAACCTGTGCATTTTTCCTTGTTTTTTTGTTTCCCCCTTTTTTCTTTTTTTTCTTTTTTCTTTTTTTTTTGGAGAAAGTATTTTCTCTCCTTATCCTTCTCTATCTTACCAACTCCTCACCCCAGTTCTTTATATTACTGGTGCTGCCAACAATTTGCTTCCCTTATACTTCCCCTATTTGCTAAAGTGCATCATCCCTTATGTACTCTCCTATGACTTGCCCAAGCTCCATTTTTCCCCTTTACTATTTCCAGTATAGGTTTTGCATTAGCTATATTGTGGAAATTGCTTTCCTTCATGCAGTTAACATTCTTGTTTTTGCTAATGAAGACCTGCTTTTTTTTTCCTTGCTGATCCCGAACATATTCCTTGAACTAATACGACCTGTGACATAATTGTCCCACTTTTGGGACTGTAGCCTAATGCTGTGCAAACTGTTCTGTTTCCTCATGTCATAGTTTCACTTATCTGTTTCAGGTCATTTTTTGCTAATACCATTTTTTTTTCTCACGGAAGCTCTTAAGACTACTTTAATTTTCTCATTTATTTTCTGCTTCATTGTTTATCATTGTTCTTAGTCCTGTTGCCACTTGTCTACCTACATATCAAAGCTAGCATCTATATTGTACCAACAGCCTGTTTTGAAAAGTAAATATATAAAATTCTTTCATATTTTTTTTCTAAGTGATTTAAATGTTAAAAACACTAGAAAACATATGCTCATTCTTTTCTTTGTTTTTACTTTTGTAATGCATACATGTTAAGTCTTTGACCTTGTTTTTCCTCCTTATAATTGCTAATATATTTAGTGGTGCTAATTGCTTCTGCTGCCTCAACACCATGCCAATTCAAATCTTCATGTTGTGATTATTGAATGTCTTTAACTAAAATGTTCTATCTATTCACAGCAAGCATAAACTTCTTCTGACCACCTCCTATTTACAAGAAGCTAGTCTGAGATAGTTCTGCTGCACTCACTTATTTCAGGAGACATGCATTTTTTTCTATCCATGTCTCACAAGTCACATCTTCTTCTTTTTTTCTTTGCCTGCATGTGACTCCACTCTGTTCATCAACAGTCTTTCCACTGTTGCTGCAAAAATCTTTTGTATTCAGCTGCCACGTAGAATATCCTCCTTGCATCTCCCCAGTTAATTGACATTCATAATTACTTTCAGATTTCATCTGAGCATGTATCTAATTCCCTTTCCAACTTCTTTCTTTTTTCACCTTCTAGTCTTTGTAATTAATTGTTATTAGTTTGAGAGCTGCACAAAAAATGTGGTATGAAGTAAAGAAATTTTACCTCTATTTTAGTGTTCTGTACACTTACAATTATTACATACATATAAATCTATTTTGCAGTTGGTAATATGAACAGCTGAAAAACAGAAGATACTTGAAAGTCTTTTCTGATAAGTTCACATTTTTTGTCTGGCCCCATAAGAATGTCAATATGTTTTTCTTTCATTTTCTGTATACTAGTAGATGTACTATATTTCTCCTTAAATTTTTCAGAAAACTGTTTAAAATAGACAGGTGTGAATACAAATTCATATTTTCATAGTGTATCATTTAAGATATAGTGCTTTTCTTACCTTGTATTCCTGAAAATCCACAGAAAATATGTTCTTCTTACAACACATGTTTTCCTGGGCTCTTTATTTCTCACAACATTACTAAGACAAGTTTTTGTTTGCTCTTGTGTGTTTTACCTAAAACTAAGAAACTGTGCGATTTGAAGAAATCATAGTTTGCAGCAATAAAGTAAACTTTTTAAAGCATTTTTTTTTTCTCCATTAGTGAGGAGGTATACAATCATATAAAATTTGCCTTCATCCATCAGGAATGTTGGAAAAAATTGCTATCACTCATGTAGTTGTATAACCTAGGATCTCTGAGGACCTGGTGATCAATTTTCTTCTTCTGTGTCATGTGGCCAGTAAAGGCTTTTGTGGAAGGTGCTCCTTCATGATGGAAAGGGATCAATGACAATCTTAATCTCTGTGGTTTGCACAGGGACCTCCAGTTCACTCCACTGTGGACTGCAGTACAAACCAGTCCTCTAGAATTTCTTCTACATACTCTGTTTCTGTTCATTGAGTCCCTTCTCTGTAATATTAATTGCAGTTACGTTTTTGGCCTGGTTTTAGATTTTGCTAAACAGGTTCATGCTGAACCTCCAGGGCTGCATCCTACTGTTGGACCCATTTTGGACTAAAATAGGACAAAGATTTCCACCCACTCCAGCACAGTACTATCATACTTAGTTGTCTGTCCTCTGTCCTTCAATAACATTGTAAATTATACCATTGTGCTTCTGCAGACAATGTGTTCCTTGCTTCCTTCTTACAGTGTAGATCTCTGATGCTTTGCTGTGAGAAGAAATGACATCAAGTGAATGTGCAATGAAATCACTGAATATAAAGTGCATGAGTAAGAATTCAGCTGCTAGAGGTGCATGGCAATTGGGGAAGCCTTGAATGGTCCACAGCCCATTCTTCCGCTCAGTTGGTGGTCTTTATCTTCCTGTAGTTTGTCATTGAAGAGCCCAAAGAAGGCAAAATTTTTCAAACTTCCTCCCTGCCCTCCCCCCAAAGGTTCTTTAATGCAGAAAAGAATGGAAAATTCAGTAAAGTCTAGTTTTAAAGTAACTAATAGTGAATCAATGGCAATGTGTATACGCTTGCTGAAGTGACAGGGAGGTGGATATTAATGAATAGCTGGAACACGAGGCAAATCATGTCTTCTGCTTGAAATGCAGAGAAACCCTGTGTCAGGGATTGTTACAGAAAAGTACAAGCTACAGGTTGAGAGAGATGGAAAGGAGGGAATTATATCCATCCTTACCATTATCATGGTCATAAGAAAAAGAGACCTAGTAACAGTGAGAGGATGGAGACTCAGCATGAAATAGGGAGTAGAAAAATATGACGAGGATTGCAAAACAGAATGAAATGACAGAACTACAAAAATTTAAATTTAAAAATTCAGGACTGGCAAGTTAGAAAATAGTATTTGAAATAGAGTGGAGGGCAGCAAAAAGAAAGGAAGGAGGAAGTGATCTTTTTCTCTTTTTTTACCTGCTAATCTTGCAAGATCTGTCCTACTTTAATTCAATTTCTGTCTTCTAGCTTAGGTTTCCCATTGTTTTGTTTGGGTATTCTTAGTGTACGTGATACTATGGTAGTTTTCTTACAAGACTGGATTTGCTTGTTTGGTGTCACTTGGTAATAACTGGACTTAAAAGTGGATCAAAACATACTACAAAAATGTACGAGATTGTAAGCTGTTATCCTATAACTATTTTTTTCTACATTTTTTTACCACCTCTTCCTCTGCTTAAGTTCCTGAATCATTACTCAAAACAGAAAAAAGAAATAGAAAATCCAAGTTTACATGACTGGCAGCACTTTTGTTCTGATTCTGATGTCTGAAGGCAATTTTCTCAGTGATACTGGTTTGTTTTATATTGGTTTGTTGAATAACAAAGGACAAGGGGAATGCAGAGTTAATTCTTACCTAAATATGTTTGTATGCTATTAATTATTTTTGGTTTTTTAGGGCCAAACTTGGAATGCCCCAGTTCTTGAGTCCTGAAGCACAGAGTCTTCTACGAATGCTCTTCAAAAGAAATCCAGCAAACAGATTAGGTAAAGTGTTTAGTGAAATATTTTAAATTTGATTTTAGTGTTGATAACATCAAGGATCAATAAACTGACTAAAGAAATTCACTGTACTGTTTCTTGTCTAAAATAGACTTTAAGAACATACTTTACGTGTTTGCTTTTCTTAATGATTGACAAAATATTATAATTTCTGCTATTCATGTGTCTAAAATTAATGCAGAAGAAATAAGAAATATAATTGTGATAGTCATTCTTTTGACCAAGAAGAAAATAATTCACAGACATTTTTCTTCTTTATAAAAGGAGCAGGTCCAGATGGGGTTGAAGAAATTAAGAGGCATGCATTCTTTTCCAAAATTGATTGGAATGTGAGTACTAATTCCAAATTAATTCAGTAAATTTCTTAGTTAAGTGTTTGGTGGTGTCGTGTAATTTTTTTAATTCACTCTGTCCTATGCCTTCTCTTCAGAAATTGTACAGGAGAGAAATTCATCCCCCTTTTAAACCTGCAACTGGCAGACCTGAAGATACATTTTATTTTGATCCTGAGTTTACAGCAAAAACTCCAAAAGGTAAAAAGAGAAAAATTTAACAATTTATGTATTCAAAAATTAGAAACATTGTTCCTGTTCAGCTTGTGTAAAGTGTCTTGCACTTCCTGGTGTTGCTGGGTTAAATGAATGCTCACAGACAAGTGTTCCATAGTTCATAAAAGTTTTCATGGTCTTTGGTGTAAATATATCATGAGGGACAACTAAGTTGTTCTATGTTAAAAATAAAGTAATCCTCAGCAACAAAACATACACATAAGTTCAATTTTACTTATCTACATAATCTTGGGGTTTTTAATTCAAAAATATTATGTGTCTCTTCAAAGGCTATATTCTATGGCTTCATTTAATTCATGATGATGACTCTGTATGCTATGTATATATAGAAACTTACTCATTTCAGACTTTTGGGTGGCAGTTACTGTTCAGTGCAATCTGTCTCTTCATAGTTTTACACTGGTCTATTCAAAATATGATAGGAATTTTTTGTCTTTACAAATTGAGGGTGTTGCCAAAACTTGAGCTCTTCTCCGTAAATATGACATAGGTATGCTACTATATGTAAATATTTTCTGCAAAGTACTGGGTTTTTTTATAAGAAGATATTATCTGGCAGTAATACGATCTTTGTAGTTATTGATTATCGGTGTGTTTCTGGGTGGTATATGCAAAACAATTCAGTAACTATTTATATTTTGATCCTCACAAACACTTTCTACAAATTCCAGTTTCTGTGACTTTATAGAATAAAGCTGTAGTTTGCTCGTCAGAGTAGACATAGTCTCATCTCTACATTTTAAAAACTGCTTGTAAGTAGATGATGTGTTTTTCAGATTCTCCTGGTATCCCACCTAGTGCTAATGCACATCAGCTTTTTCGGGGATTTAGTTTCGTAGCTATTGCATCAGATGATGAAAGCCAAGCAATGCAGACAGTTGGAGTGCATTCAATTGTCCAGGTGAGTACATCTGCTTTTAAAAAATGTCAATGAAGCAGTATTGCTGTCCCTTGGTGGAGGGATTGTTTCCTTCATCATAGAATGAACTACCGTGACAAAGTCATAATCAGCTTTTCATACAAGAAAAGTAAAGAGTAGATTATTTTATCCAAACTAAACTTCTGAAAGTGCAGGACCTGTTTCATTGCTGAGCAGCCATGGCTCTGAATAGGCTTCAGCCCTTAAATGAAAACATTCTACCATCTGTACTGTAATAACTCTTTAGTATCAAGCCATAATTGTAAGGTGCAGGGGAATAACAGACATCTTGGTCTTTTTCCCCTATGCATGAAACTGGTATGTTGATTCTTGCAGTGCACTGGAAGGCATTGGAGTACAATTGTGAATTGTATCTGGATGTTTTGGACTGCTGTGTGTTTGGGAACCAATGACATATTCCATCCCTCCCAAGCCACTTTAAGTTAGTGTGCTAATCGGTGATATTTTGTGACTAATTTCAGTGCGCACACCAGCTTTAGCTTCCTAGCAGTATTAGAATGACTCCAATACAGTCTTCCATATTAAAAATTGTGAGACTGTCACTTTCAATAGCCTACTACAGTTGCTATTCTTACATGTTCTATTACTGCCAGTACTGCTTATTTTTGAGCAACAAAGCTTTGTTTAAGTGTGAGTTTTGTATGAGACAAGAAAGGTGGACCTCATGCTAAGTGGGGGAGAGGCATGCCTTGCCTCCTTAGGATGCTGAGGTCATTCTAAAAGTGTGCTTTAGCACTGTAGACTTTACAGCCAGCAGGAAAAAAGCATATGCATGTACAGGAAAGAAAACTGGAAGACCAAAATTGTATTTCTGCAAAAATTGTATTTCTGCCTCCGCTTTCTGTTTTTAATAACTCTAATTATCAAGGAAGACTGAGTTGTGAAAACCAACTAGTGATCTGAATTGTCTTGAAAATTGGTGTATAGGTAGGAATAAAATGGTATGCTGTGTGATTGGGTTTATTTATATTTTCACTGCAAGGATGTTTTGCAAATGTCTGAGAACATTTTTAAAAACCAGTTTATTCAGAACATTAATAGCTCTTGTATTTCTTTAATCTTCTTATTATGTCTAGAATAGTCATAACATGCTTGTTTGTACAGGTTACTTGTTTCATGTGTAATAAACCATTACATTTCAAGGAGTTTTAGGTCCTTTTTTTATTCTAAAGAAGCTGTATGATTTGGTATATGGGTCAGAATTATTTCTGGTCCTGAAGTCTTGCTAGAAGTTTCTACAAGCTTTTGTGTGCTCTTTCTTCCCCACATAGTTTTGTGGATTAAATTCTTTCTCTTTGTATTTGGTTTCCTTCTCCTGTAAAAGTATCTTTCTCTGCTGCCTTTCCTCCGTGCCCCTCAACCACTTCCTCACTCCTATTTCCTCTTTTCTGTGCTGCAGGATACCCAGATGGTTTCCTGCAAATACTTTACATCCTTTGCACAAACTCCTTATACTAGAACACCATTTCCTTCCGTTAAAAGAGTGAACACTTGTCCTTCTTTCAGCTTTTTATTTCTGTGAAAGGATTTTTGACTGCCATTCCATGCAATTTCCAGTTAATCTGATTCTATTCATTATGTCTGAATTTTCCAGCTGGCATTCATCTTTTCAGAAAATAGAAGCAGTGATGCTTTTTTACCATTATTTTATCATGTAGTCTTCTGTCTTCTTTGTTTTGGAGATTCTATCTTTAAATGTATAAATCAGTAACCAGAAATATCCTGTTGTCATATTCTAAAATACACAGTATGCATTATTTACAATGTGTCTAATATATAATTTATCTCATTCTAATATCAAACAGAAGGTAGTGGCTATTTAGACCACTTTGACCTAGTACAGTCATGAGTTTAAAATTTGAAGCAAATCAGAAGGAATTCAAAAACTTATTCTTAATATAAAGGTCAGTTACGTATTTAGAATATTCTTTAATTGATAATGTTATTTTGGTAGCAGTTACACAGGAACAGCATTCAGTTTACTGATGGATATGAAGTAAAGGAAGATATTGGAGTTGGGTCTTATTCTATCTGCAAGAGATGTATTCATAAAGCTTCAAACATGGAATATGCTGTAAAGGTAATTACTTTGTTATAAAACGCACCAACTCTTTTCAGGTTTTAGCATCAGAGACATTGGGCATCAGTAATTTATTTGCCATAAAGAACATAGCAAATCAAGATAATTTTTTTAGTATAAAAATTTTAGATACAAGTGTGAATTACACTAATCAACCAAACAGAATATTCACTGGCAGATATTTATATAGAATTGCCATGGGTTTTTTTATCTATATGCTGGTTTAGGTGGTAAAAAGCAATCTTCAGTTTGAAACATTTCTGTAATTACACTGAAACTGAAGGGATTTACATGAGTGCTTCTAGAAGAAAATGTACTGCAAAAAGCTTATATGACTTTCCATTTTTTTACAAATGCAATTGATTACTTTTATTTAAGCATAGTTATATATGGCAGTTTTGCTTCCAAAGTAGATTCATAAAATTGTCAGATAGCTAGGAGTTCATAACAGTGCTTAAGTCTGGTATACCTTCCAGAATAAACTTCAACTCTTGGCTTGCTAGTTTTAAACAAGGTTTCTAATGTTGGTTTTATGTTATTCTACTGGGCTTTCTAGCATTTCTCTGAAGGCAGTAAGTTCTTAGTCAAAATCAGTAGAATTCCCAGAAACAGAAGGATAAGTTTATCTTTTTGTCTTTCTGCATAACACGGTGGAGCTGAATGTTTACTATAAAAGCAAGAATGGATTAGTAGACTTTACAAGAAAGAAAAAGAAGGTGGGGGGGATATTTAAAGCCTGTACGTGAGGCAGTTCTCTGTTTGAACAGTTTACTACTCAAATATGTAAAATGTGAAGATAAATTGTTTTGCTGGGTCCTGGTACACAGATTGCCTCTTGGAAAGCCTCCATGTACTTGTCATTATTCTGGTTCTGGCCAGGAACAGATTTGACTTCTGTGCTTGCAATTTGAAGTAGTTTCTTAAAACTGGAAGAAAGTACTGGCACAGTTGTTAATTCTCTACGCTGTAACATTGTGAGGATTGACTCACTTTTCTGCTGCCTCTGTTGTGTGTTGTGGCTTTTTTTCCTCAAGGAATCATGAAAAAAGGTGATCAGTGTCCAATATGTTAGGGTGGTGCTGGTAGCAGTCTTTAGTGGCTTTAGGATGTCAAGAGGAAGAAGGGGTAAGACAGAGATGGAGAGGACGTTAGAGGAAATTCCACGGTTCACAAGGAGAGAAAAAAAGGAGAATAAGAATACATTTTAAGGAGGGCAAAATAATGTTTTGCTTGTTGCACAGGGAGAATTTTAGAGCCTGATAGCAAGCCTCCAGAGATTCAAATGAACTTTCATAATGGAATATTTGTCTGAATGAACTCGGAGAAATTTTTCCTTTTTCTTATTTTTGATTACCTTACTATCCTGCTTTGTCTTTTACTGCACTAAATATTTGAGATTAGCTTTGTGAAAATCAGTTCATTAGCATCATCAAACCAGTATCTCATGTCAAATTAAGAACTTCGTATTTTATTAAATGGTGGGTGGCTAAAGTCTTATCTACTAAACAGCCTTGCATTATTTATCACATCCTGAGGGTTCAGATCACTTATACTCCAAAATTGTTTCCAACTGAGAGATTTTTCCATGTTTTTCCAATGTTTTTTGCTTTGTCTTGCTGTTACAATTTAACAAACTTTGTTTTGGTTATAATCCATGCCCTTTACCAACAACAATAAATATTGCTTATCTGTTTATGCTAGTAAGCACACTAAAGTGTTACACTATGTACTATTCACAAAAGAATTATGCCTATGTATTTATTTGGTCTTCTAGATCATTGACAAGAGTAAAAGAGATCCAACAGAGGAGATTGAAATCCTGCTGCGCTATGGACAGCATCCAAATATTATTACCCTAAAAGATGTAAGTAGTGTATTAAAGACATCCTTTAGTGTATTATTATTATTATTATTATTATTATTATTATTATTATTGCATATCACCTTCTAATTTGAGAGATTACAAACTACATGTTTTAGATTTATTTAAAAATAAAAAAATGTCCTAATGCAATTTATTCAACGATATCAAATTTTTACCGAGATGTCTCATTGTCATCTTTTAAAGATGCTCATGTTTTAGTACAATGTAATCTTAAGGAGTCAAATAATTAATCCTTTATAAATCCTAGCACAGGAATAATTCATTTAACGTTGGCTGTATTTTAAAGAAATGAACAAGTTTTTGGTTGCTTAGTTAACTTCCAATCTACTTTTGTTTACATTAGTCAAAAGCAATTTTAAAGTGCATTATTACATAACTGAGGACTCACTGTTTGAGATAGCACAATACCCAAAGTAATTTTCATGGCGAGTATTGAGTGTTACTCAGCAGTGAACAAAACCTTTTCATATCCACTGTCATCAACTTTTCTCTACCTAGTATCTTTATCTGGTCTTTGCTTGTTCTGTTTAGTATCTTTATCAATGATCTGGACAAGGAAATCAAGTGCACCTTCACTCAGTTTGCAGACAACACTAAGTTGGGCAGGAGTATTGATCTGCTCAAGGGTAGGAAGGCTCTACAGAGGGATCTGGACAGGCTGGATTGATGAGCCGAGACCAACTGTACTCATACAAGACCAAGTGCCAGGTCCTGCAGCTGGGTCACAACAACACCATGCAATGCTACCCCCCAGTGCTTGGGGAAGAGTGTCTGGAAAGCTGGCCCACAGAAAAGGGCCTGGGGGTGTTGGTTGACAGCCAGATGAATATGAGTCAGCAGTGTGCTCAGGCAGCCAACAGCATCCTGGCCTGTCTTGGAAACAGGGTGGCAAGCAGGAGTAGGGAAGTGATTGTCTCCCTGTACTCAGCACTGGTGTTGAGCACAAGTCTTATGAGGAGCGGCTGAGAGAACTGGGACTGTTTATTCTGGAGAAAAGGAGGCTGAGGGGAGACCTTATTGCTCTCTACAACTACATGAAAGGAGGCTGTAGCGAAGCAGGTGTCAGTCTCTTCTCCCAATTAACAAGTGACAGGATGAGAGGAAATGGCCTCAGGTTGACTGGATATTAGGAAAAATTTCTTCACCAAAAGGGTTATCAAGTATTGCAACAGGCTGCCCAGGGAAGTGGGGGAGTCACCATCCCTGGTGGTATTTAAAAGACGTGTAGATGTGGTGCTTAGGGACACAGTTCAGTGGTGGACTTGGCAGTGTTAGGTGAATGGTTGGACCTGATGATCTTAAAGGTCTTTTCCAACCAAAAGAATTCTATGATTCTATGGAAGATTATCTAGTTCTTTTTTTTTTCTTTTTTTTTTTTCCCTGCTATTATTTACTCTGACCATGGAAACACTTTGACCATAAAATGCAAAGAAAATGTAAGTTGGGAGGTAGAGGCTTTTCATAGTGAACAGTAGATTCTGCTGATCCAACAGAAAAATTGCCTTTCTCTCCTTGATTATGCATTAAAGGGGATTAAAAATTAGAAAAGCATATGTTTAATGACATTCTTAATCTGCAAGAAAGCATTCTGGTCTCCAAAACCAAACCTCAAGAAAAACAGCTAACCCTTTCCAGGAAGCTGAGCTCAGCTGAAGGGAGATTCTCAGACATTTTGAAATTATTAAACCAGTAACTGATAAATACTGTGGAGATGAGTACTAGGGAACTCTGCCTAAAGGTCTTCTCTTACTGTAATCTGTCTTCACTTTATCAGTATCATGTAGTTTGGCCTTTTCTTGGGAGAACAAAATAAACCAGATCTACACTATGGAGCTTACCTTCTTGCAAGCTAGATACTGTAACTACAATCCCGCTTTCTGTTTGTTCTGTTTCATGTGTTTGGACAAAAAAACTACCTGAAAGCAACTGTACTAACATGGAAACTGCATCAGCATTCAGGTTGCTTTTAGTGCTGCATGCTAGGTTTAATTCATAATAGAAGTTATGTTATCTAAGGAGGAAGACAAACATAAGGAATGTGAGTACTTAACTTAAGCATTATGAATATTTTTCACTGAGAGCAGAGAAACCCAGGCAGCCATAAAATGATGACGAGAGGCCTGGAGCATCTCCTGTATGAGGAAAGGCTGGGAGAGCTGGCACTCTTTGGCCTGGAGAAGAGAAGACTCAGAGGAGATTTTATCAATGTCTATAAATTCCTGAAGTGTGGGGACCAAATGGATGGGGCTGGGTAGTACCCGGTAGTAGTAGTACTGTAGTAGTACCCAGTGACAGGACAAGGGGCAATGGGCACAAACTGGAACACCGGAAGTTCCAGACAAACTTAAGGAAAAACTTCTTTGCTGTGAGGGTGACAGAGCACTGGGACAGGCTGCCCAGAGAGGTTGTGGAGTCTCCTTCTCTGGAGATGTTCAAAACCCACCTGGACGCCTTTCCTGTGCAACTTGCTGTAGGGAACCTGCTTTGGCAGGGGGGGAGGAATCGAGAGTTCCCCCCGGTGCCTTACTCAAGATGATCCCCTGAGGTCCCTTCCAACCCCCACCATTCTGTGATCCTGTGAAACAATGCAAATTCAAAAGACCATATTATTTGTGCAATGCACAGTCCTCTGGGGTTTTTCCTTCTGATTGTTATCAGTGGCCTTTTTGAGTTACACAGTATATAAACAAAAGAAGGGGCTATATTGTGCTAAATCAGATGTCCTTCTTATCCAATATCCTGCCTCTGACAGTGGCCATTAGTGGATGCCTAGGAAACAGTGTAAGAACAGAGGAAGCACGCAGCTTCCAACAGACCATTACCTAGAAACTTCCTGTCCTAGACCATTATACATATTTTAACATTTTTTACCGATTGGTTATTGATCTGTAGCAGAACTTTTGTCCTGTTTTGACTTATTTAAAGTATTGGCTGAAGAATCTTTTCAGAAGCATTTTAGAAACCTGAATACAGTATATCCAGTCTCCCTGTCCAAGTGCTTATTTATGAATTCAAAAAACTCCTAATATGTATATAAAATATTATTTCATTTTGCAAAAACCATGTTCTTTTTCTCCATCACATTGTATTTTGTTCATGGGCCTGTGTTTGTTTCTCACTATAGTTTCTTTCATTTTGCCTAGCAGAGAAGACATACAGACTGATCTTTGGAGTGTGCCAGGAGTTAATTTTTAAAACTAGCATCACATTTATAATTTCAGCGTAATTCCGTGCACCTAATTATGAAGAAAACTTCAACAGTACTTATTCAGTGCAAACAACTAAATTGATAATACCATTAGAGAAAACAGGGCGAGGGGAATGGTTTGTTTGGGAGTTTATTTCTGGCACACAAACAGGACCAGATGAGGGGTAGCAGATAAAATAGTAACCAAATGCAAATTTAGCTTGAATGTCCCCCTGCAGTACTGACATGTGTGTGCTTCGTCATGTCAAATGAAGTAAGATTATTTCCTAATGTTATACCAGGATTAGAGGGAGCATACCTATTAAAAAAATTCTAAAATGACAATTTAGTATCTAAAAAAATATAATTCTGCTTTTTAATTCTTTGTAATATTTAAAGTCTTAATACAAACACATTCAAATGATCAGTCATTTATATTTCAGAGAGGGGAAATTGCTGTTAAATGAAAACATAAAACTCGTCACGTCTTCCTCTCCTTAAGATTGTAAGCTTGTAAAGCCTACAGAATTATTTCTTTAACATACTTCCTGGTTTTTTATTTGGTGAGAAAATTATCCTTTTAGTATAGTTAAGAGCACAAATATTTTTAAGGTTAGAACTTCAGTATTTCCCAGATAGCTTAAGACAAGGAAATTGTGATGAACTCTTTTTTTTAACTGAGCTGATACGTATTCCTAAGTTTATTTTACTACAACTTGGATAATAATTTCTACTTAAACACAAACTATTTTTTATTTCACGTGTAATACTGAAGAAAATTATTCCAACATCACCATAAAAAAAAAATGAAACAATAATGGGGAACAGAGTCTGTAAAAGGTTTCACTAAAGCAGGAACCACTTTCTGGGTGAAGTTAAAACCCCAAGAAAGTGCAACTGAAATTAAAGTCTCAAGTATACCTTAAAACATGTTTTGGTATAGTTCAGTCTGTAGTGCCCCCTGGTGATAATATAAATAATTCCTAACTATTGTTTCCCTGGAAGATAAAAACCATGCAAAAATTGAGCCATTTTCCGTAACTAGAAGTAAAGACTAAAATATCTGTATTATTTTTTTAATTAATTTTAGACTTTTGTATAGGCTTTATGTGCAGAGTAATATATAAATTGTAGGGTTTTATCATAGCAGCTTTGTATACATTAACATACAGTTGGAATGATCTCTGTTCATATTTGTAGTTTGGTGCAATAGTTGCTTCTAGAATTAGCTCTGATTTTGCCTTAATTACACTAGTTTCCATGTATCGCTATTTCTTAATTTCTCCCATGTCTAGTTTAATTGGTTTCAGTAAAAGAATGTGGGGAAAACTACATTATTCGTCCTTTTTTGTCTTAAACATTTATATGCCAGTATTTTTGTGTTATTTCATTACTGTACTACCTTTTTGTAGAAGGTTTTGTGTTCATTTCTGAAGATGAACAATATTTGGATAGTGTGGGGGGTGAGAAATATGGGAAGAATAATTGAAGGAAAAAGATTGTGGATGCACCTGTACTATCTCTGCATCTCACAGGAAGATAGCAGAGAATAAATATTTTGAAGTTTGAATCTTTATGTACTTTTTGCAGGTGTATGATGATGGAAAATACGTATACGTAGTAACAGAACTTATGAAAGGAGGAGAATTGCTGGATAAAATTCTTAGGCAAAAATTTTTCTCGGAACGAGAAGCTAGTGCTGTTCTGTTCACAATAACAAAAACAGTTGAATATCTCCATGCACAAGGGGTAAGTTTTCATCTCAGACAGAATGCTTGTAGATGTTAATATTGTTCTCTTTCAGAAGTACAAACTCATATCTTGATATATTCTTCTGTGTGGTAATTAAGTATTTTTTGATAAATTATTACATTGCAGTAGGAATTTGTGTTGAAATCAAAACATGTGCAGACTAATAGGTGGGATATGAGAGGAAGTAAACCAGGAAGAAGTGCTAGGGCCAGTGTTGTTGCTTAGCCGTGAGACCTAACGTAATTCCCCATCCTGTGATAGACCTTGAAAATCAAGTATCTTCCACTTATCACTCTTGTAATTTATTTCACTTCTTGGTTTTGAAGAACATGGTTTGAATTGTAACTCCTGTGCCATAGGGTCAGGAAGTTGTAGTGGACTGTTAGGAGAAAGAAAATTAGGGAAATAATTTGGAGATAGAGGAAGTAGTTCAAAGACAGAGAAGGCAAATGTGACAATTGCATGGCAGGAATGACAAGTCATGTTGCATTTTTAAGTAAACAAGAAAAGGGGGATAAAGAAAAAGCAGAAAGTAAGGGTGCAAAGAAAAAGTCAAGTTGCTAACACCTAATGTTATTATCCAAGAAAAGATACTTTGGAATGGATAATACTCAAATTATTTTAAGAAACAACAGTTCAGTGCACACTGTCATTTCTGGAAGCTATTATTTCATAAAACTTATGATCAAAGTTATCTGGTGTAATCCATGGGAATTGTGAATAAATCTCAATACCTTCTATATGGAAATATAAATAATAGAATAACACATATCATAATTTGGTTTCTTCTTACCATATGTGGCCAAAAAAGGCCCAGTGTCCTTGTGTCAAGTAATGGATTTTAGTGGCTTTTGTTTGTTTCTTTACTCTAGATATTTGTAAATATTGGCATTTTAACTTGAATTAGATCACATGGTCTTTGGAACTTTTACTATTAGAAAATTTTGGATAGTCTTTTGTTAAGTACATTTCTGCATGCAAGATGGCCTTATATGTAAATAGTGAGTACTTTGGTAGTCTAATTTTTGTCTGGAAGAGTCCTCCCTGTCTTCAGTGGATTTTCCTTTATAGCTCCTTTGGACACCAGAAGAGCTCACGTGAATATGGCATTAGGCAATATCTGGTTTGACAGATTCTGAATTTGTGTGCAGCCTCCACAACCCTTCCCATAAGGAGTTTCCTCATGGACATTCATAGGATACTTTTGAACTGAAAAATTCACTAAGCAAGGAATGAAATACTCCTCTTCAGAGCAAGCAATACTTCCAACTCTCACCCAAACCAGGTGGGTTTGGGTGGGAGTTGGAATCAGGGCCAGCATACAACAATTAAAGGTTGGCACAGCAGACATAATAAAAAGGATAAGCAAGAAGTATCACGTCATCTTGGAGCTGAATAATTCTGCATGCTAGTAGATGATTGAGAATGCTAATCAAAAACATGATGCTAAGAAATAAAGAACTGAAATGTCCTGCATATTGTTTTACTCTCTTCTGTTGCTCTAAAATAAAATATTTCTTCTGTGCAAAATACCAGTATAATCTAAAAATATGGCTTCTTTTTAAAATTCACCTTTGGAAAAACAGCTTAATACGAGGAGGTATTTTATTTCTTCTTTGACATAAACACTTTGCTTAGGAATTAACGTTTGGCTTTGAACTAGACTGTTACACTTACTCTTCCTCCCACTTGAGAACTGCTTCCACTTCTTTAAAAATAAAAGTACAACTCAAGCAGACTGGTTTTAGAAAGAAAGTCTGCCAAATCCCTAGCTCTGCTGCTTCCGTTGCCCACCTCTTCCTTTCTAGCCCTTTCAGGAACTGTTTAAAAAAAAAAAAACAAAAACCACCAATTGGAATAAAACTGCTGGTTTTTTTCTTCTGCCTCTTGGAGCAATAAAGGATTTTTCATTCATTACTTAGAGAAAAAGGATTCTAATCTATCTGAACACCAAAAAATGGGGGCTATCAGGAGCCAGTTCTCACATACACTGACATGTCAAGCCAGGATGTTCCCCTTGACATATAGTGTTCCAACTTAAATTCTTTAATATCATTTTGCATATTTCTTCTTACAGGGTGCTTATTTCCATAATTTTAAATATTCATTTTGTTAAATCTGAGAATTGCAAAGTATTTGCAAGCTGAAAATGCCTCTACTAAATAGACTTGCTGTATTAAATGGCTTTACAATCTGCAGGCCCTCTGCAGTCCTTTACTTCTTGGTCTTGTATTATTTACTTTCCTTGAACACTGCTAGCTTTCTGGAAGAGCACGTAGAGCTTCTCATTCCTCACATCACTTATTTGCAGGAGTTTTGGGGTATCTTCTCATTCTAATATGATTACCTTCTTGAAATGTCTAAGGGGAAATGAGTCTTCCATTCAAATTGAACCATGAAAAGCTGTGTTTAATATTAATCAAATACATAGGACAATCAGGAAGATAAAAGCCTTCATAGCAGGTCTATTTAAATATTTAAAAGAGAACATTTAGATCCACTCTACTGTCTTACGGTAGTCTATACCCTTTTCTTTACAGAGAGAAAAACCTCTATAGAGACTAGGCTAATTTATCTTGTGAAGAAAATGTAACAGGTCATCTGATTTCTAATACTGTCCTTGTGCATTACAGGTTTTATTAAGGCTTGTTATACCTTCAAATAAGATCAGATTCATTCTGCCAAAACTTTGGCAGCTTCTATAGTTTTTGTCAAGCATTTTACATCTCGGCTCCCCACAAAACAGCCACTTGGGAACCAGTACAGGCTTTTCTGACATTCCAGTCCATTAGGAGAATCTCTTTGATATTTTGATATTTTTTTGATAGAACCATATTAATATTCATCCTTAATCAGGCCTTAAATGTTTGCACTAAGATTAATTCAGATTATCTGAATTAAGAGAATGGAATATAAAAGGTTACTCCAGCAGTAACTAATGTGTGGTTACATAGCGCAGTGGTGCATCAGCAGTTACAGACACACATGACTCCAAAAGATATTACTAGCCAAAAGTTCTGATTTAAAAAGCCTTGTAGGTATGCATGTTAAAATAGAAAATACATGTATTCACTCATTAGATCTGGAAGAGTCTGTACAAATAAATTCTAGGGGAATGGGATGTCTGGAGGGGGCTTAACAGTTAGAGTTTCTGAGTCTTTAGACACCACTGAGCGTCAGAGTACTGCAGCTGATGTTAGAAGCTGGCAATCTGTAAACTGATTGCTGGTGGAAGATTTGAAATTAAGTAGCAGAATTGATAATTATAATACAAAGCCTTTCCTATGTTTAGCTTATTGTATTCAGTGGTTTGTTTTATTTTTTTAGGTTGTTCACAGAGACCTGAAGCCTAGCAATATTCTTTATGTTGATGAATCTGGTAATCCAGAATCAATTCGGATTTGTGATTTTGGCTTTGCAAAACAACTACGAGCGGAAAATGGTCTTCTGATGACTCCATGTTATACAGCAAACTTTGTTGCACCAGAGGTAAATACTAGGATAGCTTATATGCCTTGATTTATTTTGAGGTGATTTTTTTGCTAGTTAGATATTTGTTTCATTGTTGTGTAACAAGTGAAAACACCTTGTAAACACTAAAAATCTGAAATCTTACTATTTTTATGGCACAATTAAAGCATTTCTAAGCTTGGGTTTTTTTAGAAAAAAAATATTTGTCTCCTTCAGGTTTTAAAGAGGCAAGGTTATGATGCTGCATGTGACATATGGAGCCTTGGTGTTCTACTTTATACCATGCTTACTGGGTAAGGGCAATTTTAGTTCACTTTGCTGTAGAATTGCAAACCAATATAAACAAAAAGAATAATAAATGTAGACCTGCTGTTGAAGATGTTTCTATCGAGGCACTGATTAATTTCAACTTTGGTTTCAGTGACAGTAGAATATGCCTTGCCTTTAGTAGAATCCAAGTTTGCAGGGACTGATGTGAAAAATTCTTATTTTCTCATGTCTCATCTATTTTAGATGTTTAATTTCTGCTTTATGGTGATTTAGGGGTAAGAATTTATTGTTTCATGTGAAAATTAGCTGATTAAGCATCATAAATGTTGAAGGAAGTGCATGTTGCAAATATAATTGCGATGCATTGAAGCAAAATTCAGCCACTGTGGATAGTTTGAAGTGATGCAGTTAGGGTATAAAAAATGCACCAGAAATGTGTTTATTTATGCAACAGAAATGAATTGTATAAAAGGTGATGGATAATAAATTCAACTATAGTTCCACAAGTTCAGAAGATAGTTGCTATTGCACCTGCCAAATAGAGTATCTTTTTATCCTAGGTTATTTAGATTGCCACTTTGGTTAAGATTTAACATAATCAAGAGATATTTTTGGCATTTCAAAATAAATAAGCGACAAACATATTTGTTTCTAAATACAACTCTTTTGGTTGTGGATATTCTGCTAGTAGCCAGAATGCTTACAATGAAGCAAGGAAAACTGCTGCACCTTCATTCCTCTAGTATTAAAACAGCATTTACTCTTTTTCAGACTCAGAAAGTCTTTACATTTAATTTTATAACAGCTTGTTTTATTACTTCACTAAAATATGAAGGTTTAAGGAATACTTTCTGTAATTCAGGAACCACCAGTACTTAAACTGCTATAGGAAAAATCTGGTTATCAGCCCTGATATAGAGGGAATACACACAGTAAGAACAGATCTGTAGTCAGTGCTGTGCATTTTCACGTGTTAAGAATAATTTAGTTTTACAGCTGTTTGACTATCTGTTGCCTATAATTATATTGAACATGCCGAATAATGTAATAAGCTTTATAATAACTATCGAGGTCCAGGTTGTGGAGGTTATTAACATTGAAATTATTTGGTTGAATAGCTACACTCCTTTTGCAAATGGTCCTGATGATACCCCGGAGGAGATTTTGGCCCGAATAGGTAGTGGAAAGTTCTCTCTCAGCGGTGGTTATTGGAATACCGTTTCAGATACAGCTAAGGCAAGTATATTTGCTTTGTCCTTTGGGGGATGAGAAATGGATTGCAATGCAACATTGCTTATAATGTATAGGTCATGTCATACATGATTGGGTAAGTTCCACCCATTATTATTGTTATTTGAAAATACTGATCTGATCCTTTGTGTGCCTAGAGGTTTGTTTCCTATTTATGATCCTTTAATGTTTCAGCAGTCACTTGCATGTAGGAAGGAAAACAGGTCTGCCCTATACTAAGGTATTAACAAATGTCCTTAGAAATATAGTGTGTTTTATCAGTATTCACACACACGCACAATCTTCCATGATGAGAAATGCTGTAATAAAACTTCATGTGGAAGCATAATAAAAATCATACAGATAGTCTAAATCAGGATAATGAAAATATTACGATGATTACCATATGGTCCACTGATTCAGGCTAGAAAAATAAATAGTTATTCACATGGTCCTTAAGGATGTCATATCTACTTAAAAAAAAAAAGAAAACAAACAACACTGAAATATTATGCTTTCTTTTTACTGCATTTGTACAAAGTAAAAATTTGAGTCTATTTTTTTAGGTACATTTTTAACAGCAAATAGACTAGAAACTTAGGTGTGCAATATCCTTTATGCCCCTTCGGTGTAGCTACAGCAAAGTGCTACAGTTTTCCAAAAAAATCATTTACATATGTTGTGCTTTTTCTTGCTAATTGATTTGTGATGTGCTTTCTAATTTACTGTTCTCAAAACTCAACCATTTTCCCACAAATGATATAATTCATTTGATTGACAAATCAACCTGTTAGAATAACATGTTTACACTAATCTGGTAGCATCAGCTTTTTCTTCCTTCAGTTCAGTTGTACTTGGGAATCTAGAGTGAACCAAAACCTGTCAGCTATGAAAAAATCTTAGCTTTCTTTTTACTAGTATCTTTATGTTCAGATTCTTAATTTGAATTACAAAACAAAGAATGTTTTATATTAAAATGTCCAGTATTGCTGATGTAACAAATTATCTTAAATCCAGTTGTAGTCAACTAAATATTTCTCCACAGGTAATTGCTTAATGTAGAAATGTTATTTATGCTTTACCCTTACTGACTGATATCTAAAGTAATCTATAAAATACTGTGCTGCTGTATAAATTTGTTTTCAGCATCTTGAGTGTTGTATGCAATTCTTATTACCATAATTTGAAAAAGATAAAATAGAAATTGAAAAGGTGGTAGAAAAAGATGTACGCAAACAAATGTAAAAATCTTATCAGATGTTGTGAGCCACTTCCATGTAAAGAGAGTAAACAGAATATGGTGTTTCATTTCAGCAGAGTTGACTGACATGACAGACAAAAGAGATAATTTCACTGATACAAAGAAGGAAAGACTAATTCCTGTTTCCTCATATGCTGATTTTATTAGGGAAATTGGGAATCATTCAATTAATCTGCAGAAGTTAAAAAACAAAATAAAATATCTGATAATATAGTTCACAACGTAATTGTGAAACAACGATGAAAGATGCTTGAGAAGGAGGGGAAAACAAAGGTATAAACAGCAAAGAGTTCAGAGGGTATGAAGTAAAAATCACTAAGGGTATGTTTATGGCCAGCAGGAGTACTAAAATTCAACCTTCAGCTTGCACAGTTGTTGAAAGATGGTTTAACAGTGGGGAAACATGCAAAGGGAAGGATCATCTCTGTTTTCTCAATTGTTCCTTTTTCAATACTAATTTCCTACCTATCTGCTATTTGTCATTGTTAAAAAAAAAAAAAAATACTAGTATAGTGGCGCCTCTACTCTACTCTAGCCCGATGTGCATATTTTTATGTTTGTGTATTTTGCCTCACTTAATTGGATACTTTCCTGTTGTGTTACTAAACATCCATTAAGTCGCATAATTAAAAGATAACAGCGTTAGCATCGCTGGGCGGTTTTTCAGCTGCTTCAAACTGACATTATGAACATATTTTTATGACACTAAAATCTTCAGTTTTGAGCTGTAATCCATTTTAAAGATGAAGTTCCACTGTTATTTGCATTGACTCTTGTATATTATTGACAGGACCTTGTTTCAAAAATGCTTCATGTTGACCCACATCAAAGATTGACTGCAGCCCAAGTTCTTAGTCACCCCTGGATAGTTCACTGTGATCAGTTGCCTCAATACCAGCTAAACAGGCAGGACGCTCCCCATTTGGTGAAGGTAAGTAGATATTTGTTCAGCTTGCACTTTAGACAAAATTAGTGTAAACAAAAGGATTTTTTTTTTTTTTTTAAGTTACTGTAGCATGTGTTTCCTCTAAATACTATTTAAAAGTTGTTATGACTTGGAGTTGCACTAAGCCATAAAGTGAACTTGTAATATGTAATAGGATTTCATAAGAACCCACTTGTGGAGGATAAATCTAATACATTTGAAAAAGACTTTCATTTTCTAAGGTTTGAGATTTATTGGACTGGGAGGCTTTACTTCCTTAAGAAACCAGCCCAGAAGAAATCATTCTTCTGATAGTGAAAATGTTGTCGACTGACTAAAGAGAAGCTGAAAAATAATTTATCTAATTTTACAGTTTCAGAAGAGGTTGTCAGTGACTAAAAGAAAAGAGAATACTTCATGATCACAGTATATGCTAAAAATCAGTCAAAACAGCAATGTTAATTAATATGGCATTGTACTATTCTGTACTGTCTGAAACACAACCTGGTTTTGACCCTGATAAACTTTTTCACTTTGAACAAGCAGAGAAAAATCAAAACCAACTGAATTCTACTTCTCTGTATTACAGCCTGCCTTCAGTCCTACATCCAGGAATCTCTGTTCTGCAACATAAAAGGGATCTGAAAAATATAATTATCACTCTCTGAATCAGCTATTAGAAATTTCTAGCATCCAAAAACACAAGTGGAAAGAGAGGGAAGTTCTGATTCCATGGCTCACAACTTTCTGACTGAAGTGGTTACATAAGTGATAAGCAGAGACAGCCCACCGATGGGATTTCATTCCCCAATTATTTCGCAAAGCATGGAGAGAGAAATTAACTTAGCAATCTGTCTTATACCTCCTGGGTTTGTTTGGTTTGGGGTTTTATTAAGCAAGATAAAATTGCTTTAGATTGATCTGAAAACTATTTATTACCCTAAAAATCACTCACCCCTAACGCTGGTGGTATTTGAGTAATGCAGTGGTATGTTTCTGTTTTGTAGATGAAAGTAGACTGGAAGTTAAGACTCGCTCAGAATCTCTGGCACTTAGTGCTACGTGATCTCTAATGTGTGCATCAGTCACAACACACAATTCTTGGTTTTTTTCCCCTCTGCCCCACAGGGTGCAATGGCAGCAACTTACTCTGCTTTGAATCGTAATCAGTCACCAGTTTTGGAGCCAGTCGGCCGTTCTACACTTGCTCAGAGGAGAGGTATTAAAAAAATTACCTCAACAGCCCTGTGAAGTAACCTCAACCAGAGATATTTGGTACCGTGTCATAAGATGATAGCACAAATCATGGCGACAGGTAGCACATATCTGATGGATACCTGCAAGCACACTCTGTCCCAGCTGGTACCTATAATGCTGCTGCTCCTGCTGCTGCTACTGCTTTCATCTGTTCTCGCTTTAAACTGTTGATGGCAAGTTACTGATCTTACTGGAGCTTCAAATGGAATGACAAGTGGAAACACAATGAAACAATCATGTTCACGACTGAATAAACCAGAAGAATTTTTAATGCCACCTCTGTCAAAAATACACTGAATAAAGCACTCTGCACCACATAGCATTATTTTTATAAGGAATATTTTTTGTCCCCTAAAATATTCTTTGTTACAGGTAGAGATGGACAGTTTATGTTAAGCACTTAGCTTAAACAATCTGTTTATATTAGCACTATATACTTTGTGCCATCCAACACTTTGTATGTTTTTGTAAACAGTTCACAAGCAGTACATTTCTGTGCTGTTTTCTTTAATGTATACATGCCTTGTTTTACTTAGATATTATTAATCATTTTGACAATTAAGTCTGATTAAACAGTTCACCTGGATTAATCAGTATGGTTGGACAGCTCTAAAAGAAGCCTGACTGTTAAACAGCTATTGAATGTAATACTATGAATATGTATTTCTCCTTGCCTGTGTCTTTTCTACATTTCCATGTTTTTGATGCTGCATGTCATGTTATGAAAATCAGGATACTGTTTATAGTATTCAAAATTAAACCAGTCAATCTCTCGCCATACTATATATACAATAAGTAATATAACCCAGAGAAAAGATAACTTGCTCCCTATCTCACTCTGTCTTTTGTTCCCCTTCCCCTCTCCCTTTTATTCTCTCCCATCTAATCTCTGGACTCAGGAATCATTGCTAAATACTTTCTGATAGAGGACATTTCTATATTGTTTATTCTTATAATCCATTGTTAATATTTTCTCTCTATTCTATGACTTTTGTTTAAGCTGCAAAGGATTTGTTCAGTGAACGTTGGCATTATAGAAGGGCAGCGTTGAAGGTAAAGCAAAACATAATGTCTGCTAATAAGCAAAAGGCTGGAAAAAGTAGGTTTAAACTGCATTCATTGCAGTTGCAAAACTGACGGATCTAATGTTCTGACAGTTATTTCCTGAGAATTTTAATTGACAGCCAAAGCAAAACAAGAGGAGAGTCATCCAGATCCGTCTGGGGACAGAAAGGGTAGTTATAATTTACCATGAAAATAGCATTGTCCCAGTCAGGTAAAACAAAGCTGTTCAGAGTGTTCTCACTTTTCCCCAGATGGAAGCAAGTTTGTAATGAGGGTGACTCATTTTAAATACTAATATAAAACTTATAATACTCCTGGCCTCTCGGTGCCTTAAGTAATTAAAGGCACAACTTGATGGCTAGTCTTGAAAGATCAATTGCCCACATGAGAAGGTACACTGGAATGTGTTTGAATCCAGCGAGTGTCCCACCCACCAAAATGATATGCTACATCAGCTCATTCCAGATATGAAAATGGCTATTGGGAATTCCAGCTTTAATAAACACGGACCTGAGTGAACAGCTCTATGTGAACAATACAATTTAAAAACTAAAAGATGCAATTTAGTGTTTTGCATAAGAAGGTATTTTCTTGATTTAGTGGTATTAGTTTTCTTTTATGATGGTTAATTTGCTAGTGTCCTTGAAATCATCAGAGATTTGTTGAAAGGGAAAATCATCTTTATGACAGCACAGATTTGCTCTAAATGAATGTGAGTGTTCCTTCTGCCACAAGTTTTTCAGAGTTCCTTGGGGAAGCTTCCTTCATTAGACTTGCAAAGAATCCCACTTTTATTGCCCTTAAAAATCTGTTAAATGTTTAATCCATTACAGAATTGTTAAGAAATCAGTTTTATGAACAAGGATTCTTGAATTACCATAGATCTCAGAAATGTGAACACTCAGCTCTTTCAAGCAATTAGCATTTCTCCCTTGGTGCTCTAGCATCGAAGTTCTGTTTAGCTGTACAGATGCATCTACCCTTCCTTCAAGAAACATCTTTAACTAGAGGCAGAAAAAGGCCATTTTAATTCTTTGACAGTGTCTGCAGTTCCAGGAGAATTTAGTAAAACCTTAGCTTTCAGAAAATGTATTTTCAGCTCTATGAGCAATTGAAGTCAGGCTCATCAAAATCTAGGAAAAAAAAAAAATACCTTCTGGAGTGGCTTTTTAGATATGACAATTTTCAGATTAATGTATTAGTCAACAAACAAGATTTAAAACTGATGCTGTTGAAATAAAGGGATGCCAGTACTTGCTAGTGTGTCAGTGAGAGCATTTCAGTTCAGGAGGAATATCTCCTGTGTTCTTAGCGTGTATATACAGGTACCTGGCCCAGAACAGACCTGAAGGAAGAAGTGATAAGCTGCTTCACTATTGGCAACGTCCGTGTTAAAATAATACAAAAGTACTTCCAGTAATTTTATTTTAGACATATTTGTGGTCCTCAAGCTCAATAGCCAAATAGTGAAGCAAAGGTAACTCCAGCATTTTATGTATCTGCATTCTCAAGTAAGCTGTTAATTTAGTCTAGACTTTACAGATGTTGCTACTATGTCATGTATATAGCAGCACAGGATGAACATTTTACATGCTAATAAAACAGGGCAGTTCAGCACATCCTGACTCGAATGTGTTGGAAGTCTAGATCCACTATATTTTCAGTTACTTTCTAAACCAAGGCCCGTTGATGCAGGTGGTATATTTCACAGGCTAGACTGACAAGGTTTTATGTACCTTACCTCCTGTGTTGGATTCGTGTTCACAGCTCACACATTTATGTTTTTGTAGCTGCGGATGTTGGAGGCTATAAAGAAATCCACGTAATGCTTCTTTGAATTCCAGCACCTATTAGAATGGGAGTACATATGACACACTCAATTCATTGCTGGGCTGCTTCTTGGTCTGCAAAGCAGAGCAAGTGACTCGGATACAGAGTCATAGAGGATAAAAAAGAACTGCAGATACAGATGCATTTTCTATATGTAGGCCAGGGTTTTGTTTTTGTGTGTGTGAAATTACCACTTACTGTGCTAGAGAGAACGAGAGGCTGGAGGGAGGAGCGTAGCTGCAATACTCATTAAATGCCATCTATATCCAGTAAGGGCAAAGTTCTTTATTCACAATCACTATCACTTTGAATGAAACTTTAAGGAGTTTTTCAAGAGAATATTTAAAACTTTTTTCTAAAGAGAGAAGGGCATAAGAAAATAGATTTATGTGTCTGGGATTTTTTTGTGTTTGTGTTTTGCTTTTGTAAATGTGGTGTACCAACTAAAGCTGTGCTTTTTTATTATTGGAAGGAAAGGATTCAAAGTGTACTGGTCCTTAGTAAGCAGCAGTGGTTAATAGATGAATTTTCACATATGAAAATGATGTAAATGATTAGCTTTATCTTGATACTCTTGACCTAATCAAAGGGAAGGTGTACTTATGAGGGATGTAATTATTTTGCAACCTAGTTGGGGGGCGGGGGGGGGCTCTACTTAAAACATTTTTAAAAATGACAAAATCGCAGATAAAATATTTTTCTACAATTCTATACAATCATACTTTATACTAGTTTTCTCAGCATGGCATGTGAGTCTAAGGTACTGTTCCAGGAAATCAGTGGTATTGTACCTTGTTCTAGACCATTACAATAGCATCTGTTAGATGCTTGGCACTGCTGTCATAGAACTGAAATGCTAGTAAAAAAAAAAAAAAAAAATTGTACTGAATACTTTAAATGATTGTTTTATTCAGAGTCTGATCTAGGAAATGTTCCAATCATGCTATTAATGTGTAATTAGAACTGTTCCAGATGTAACTATGAACAGTTCTGGAAAGGTATCATTGCTTGTACTCCTGTCTGATGGCAGGTTTTGTAGTCTTCAAAAGAAATTGAAATTTCTACTATGAATAAACTTTCAAACATATAAAGAAGTGCTTTGTTGGTTAATAATTTGTTCTGCCCAGTTATAAAAGTTGTTGTGTTTGTTCATCACACACTGAATGAAACTTTGCAGTATACGAAGTGTGCATTTCCAACCAGAAAGTCTTTAATAAGCAAGTGTGTGTCAGCTAAAATGTCACTATGTTACAGCACAGTGAGATCACTACTTGCAAACAGGGAGCCAAAGGAAAAACACTTGTATTGGGCAGATGCTGTAGCCCCAACATATTCGATGCAGCAAGACCAAAGATTTGCAAGAATATTGTATTTTATATCCTGTAAAGACTTGCAGTCCACTATAAAAGTACAACTTAAGGGTAGGCTGCTAAATAATATTTGCAATGTCTGCATTGCTCTGGACATTGAGAACAGAGGCAAATTTGACTGGTGACTATCAAGCCTTATTGATAATTAATGAACCTTTAAACATTTGGGAAATGAGAATATACGTGTAAGTACTCCATAAACAGCCTCCCCCTCCGTAAAAGCAGCTGACGTGACTCGGCAGCCTCCAAGGGCAATCGTTGGTCTTGCGACCTGGAAAAGATGAAAGCTGCACACGAAGGGACAGGAACGGTGACAGAAGAGACATGGGGAAGGCACCTGGAGGAAGGTTAAAAGCTTTACACGAAGGGACAGGAACTGACAGAGGAGACATGGGGAAGGCACCCGGCG